ATAAGTGAAGCTGCGTAAAGCAGTGGAAAACGCACGTATCACGTGGCATTTTACAAAAAGATTTGTATGTATAACTGTTTTCTAATCCACCGCACGAACCTATGGGACCAGAAAAGCATGAGCTTGTAAGTTATTCCCATAATAAATCTTTGAACTCTTTGAGAAACAGAAAAAATCTTACTAACCGTTCCATTAAGGCTTTGCTGCTGCCCAAGTAATAAAAAACGACAATGATATGAATGAAGCAAGCCTTTCCCGAGATTGATCACAAAGGAAAAGACCATGTTGCTATACTGCACAATTTGTCAAGGACAATTGTGCTGCATCTCCACATGGTGCACACTACAGCAAGCGCACTATTTAAATCGAATTTTAGCATGAAATCAAATTAAATTACAATACAATAAAACGAACAATCACAAAAGGAGGAGAGGTGAGAACATGCTAACAAATAGTTCTCTTTGTGGAGACAGGCGGAGGTCTTCCATCGGTTGATAGCAATCACGTCTTAAAACCTTAACAATCTTACGATTCGTAACTTGTAGACAACCCGAAACGCCTAGCTTCGATAGATTTGGTGTTGCGTCATCATAATATGTCAACCAATTTCTAATGACGGGATCCCGTAGTTTCGACCGTCAATTCTATGCGATGAACTTAACCTTGATTACATCATCTGACTTCTGGCCCAGTTTCAAAAGAATAGTAATGGTGCGCATGTTACTTCTGAGTAGTGGTGTGAGACAATTGATATTTATTGATTTGAACTGACTATTCTTCGGACTTCACCTTCACGCACAATTTTCATTTCATCAATTTAACTATACACTCGGGAGCACTAGACTGGAGTTTCGCTCATATTACAACTCATCAGTAGTGTATATCCATCTTCCCGTCCGGGATTTGAACTCCGGACCCGTCGCATGGAAGGCGTGTGCGTTACCACTGTGCCAACTAGCTCGTACCATGACTGAACCCAAGTGCCAATTATCCCACACCACTACTTACGAGTAATTGTGAGTTAAATGCGAATCAATCCAGCCTTGCAGGTTCGTTGACAAATCAGTCCGTAACCTGCATGGAAGTCCTGACTTACTGGGAGGCTTTCGATTGGAGCTAACAGATTGTCATCTGTGTCTCCCTTCGTTACTGTCGGGCCAAATGAACTGATTATCACTGAAGACCACACCTGAACAAACGTGAATTGGCAATTTGGTTCAGCCATGGTATGAGTTGGTTAGCACAGTTGTAAGGTACACGCCTTTCAAGCGATGGGTACGGAGCTTAAATTCCGAATGGGACGGTGGATGTGCATTACCCATGAGCTCAAACAAGAGCTAAATTCGATTCTAGTGTTTCCGAGTGTTGACTGAATCGATCAACTTACGATTGTGCTTGAAGGTGAAGTCCGAAAATAGTCAGTTCAAATCAATAAATGATAATGATGGTCGATTGGTAAAAACGATGAACTGGTTGCATCGGATTTAATTTACCACGCGACATTCGGTCTTTCTTTCACTGGCTCTTTTCTAGCTCACAAATCAACAATATGTGTCAGCGAAAAAGAAAATAAGAGATCACATTTGTGTGTATGTGTAACATGCACTATGGCACACAGATACGCGCATACACGCATAAACGTCATTAAACATTTACTGTTTTATTCATTCACGTTAACTTTGGTGACCCATAAAACAGTGTTGTATTTGGCTGGTGAACGAAGCACGGAAAAGTAGTCTAATTCGGTCCTTCCGCTAGAAAGTGAATCGTAAAACGGTCACTATATGAGTTATGCTCTATCGTGTAAAGGTAACTCGAAGAACGGTAGGATCTGCTGACCGGTGGTCGAGTGGGTAGTTTGTCTGCCTGTGAGGTCTCGGGCATGATTCCCGGTTTTGGTCGACCGATTTGCACTGGTGGTGAGACCAAATCAGGTTGAAACACCTGTACAGTACTACCCAGGTTCTCAGTTCAAGCTTTATTTGCTCTATCCACTACACTTATATCACTATAGTTCTGTCTGTTGTGCTTTTTTCAGATCAAACTCGAGTTTCTCCATTTACTTTCGGTGGTAAAAGGCGGCCCTGTGTTGTTGCTCATCATCCACTATTCATTATCCATTCATGCTCTCGTGATCTGAGACCGCACCTACCTCCACACTTACAAACCTACTATCGTCATTCTTCTAACAGTTTATTCTCATTTGATTTCCTCAAATTTCTTGCTCATCTGCGGTAACTATGAGCTCTATTTTTGTTAGCGGGGCACCGCCAAAAGTTGCTAAAGAGAAACGAAAAGTATACCACAGAAGAGTTTGTATTACCTAATCAATGAAAGTCCCAATTGTGGTCCATGGAATTTGTAGTAGAATGAAGAAGTGAAAGCAGTGCTTTCATCCTTAGACCAGTCATGATCAATAACTATCGAGAGAGTAGAAATATGCACAACTGAATTTTGGTAAAATGATTGGAACAGGTGATGACCTCAACAAAGTGTATTTGTCATACAATTAGGCCACTTCCCCTCTAGATTACAGATCCATATCCCCCGACCGAATATTGTTGTGGCAATCTCGGGGAGTCACATGCACTTCACCAGGCACGCACCATCACATGATGACTGATCGATCCGATGGACAGACAGACAGACAGACACCAGCCAGTGAATACACACCCGTTCAGGTTGTACTTACGACAGTGATATGTCTTTCTGAACAGATCGCGGTCTACGCATTTCTCCTGTACTTCTTGCGCATTTGGTTACATGAGCTGTTTGTGTGTTGATGCTTCTTCGTGCTCACCAACCTACAGGCTGGTAACGCACCGAAACTAAACAGTCTGCTTCATTGTGCGATTATCTACCTGCTGAACCGAAAACAACGACAGAACGACCAACTCAATTAATGACAGCTGCTCGATGAAACTGAAGAGTATGGATGGATTCGACCTAAACGGACTAGCACCTGTAAAACTACCAATCGTACAATATGAGAGAGATGTGCACAATACAGATCAACTGAAAACAAAACGATTTAGGTTAAAACGAAATTATACCGGCGATAGAATTCGGCGACCAACTGGTATTGGGTGGTGAGATTACATTTCCATTGTTTCATGACAGAGTTCTAGTCCCCATTCTGTCCCTGCCACCTCGGGCTCTTCGCCCACCTTCATATCTAGGGGGAGACAAAGCCAGAGTACAGTGCGAATCACTAAACCAACTGAGAATAGAAATGGTGGGAGATACGAAATAAATAACCGTGTTCCTGAATTTGGCTGACAGTGAATTTCTGGTTGCTGTGGCCTACACTCAGTCTAAAGCCAGACCGCTCCTCACGCGTGCACCATTTACGTGCGGTAGAAGATTGACGAGCGAAATGCTGATGAGGAGATTCAAAGTGATATTTGTCAAACCTGGATGCTTCGTGGATTTCCACAATAGGATCTGTTTTACTTTCAGTGGGTGATTAGATTTCAATCAAATAGTGCACGTTGTACCAGATTATGACCAAGGAACATCTAGAACTCTACTGGATGAAACGAATGACCTTATTCCTGACTCCGCCTGGGTAATATCATTTGTTTTCTGAACATAGAATTTTATATAGGTACATTTCAACAAGGCTCCCAGACAAGTAGGGCATTTATTCCGGTTGTTTAACGACCAATGACACTATTTTTGTCTGTGCATGGTGAAAATACTGTTCATCGAATGGTAAAGATAGGTGGAATAATACTATCAACTTCTCATCATTTACGTCACTGAATAATTGGTAATTTGATGAACTTACTGTATCTTGTAAGAAGTAGTAAATGAGTATATCGACCGAATTCCGTTTGTAGGGCACACAAATAAGCATACTGATCTGCATCTACAAACCACTCCATTTTCCGGTTGTGTAGTAACGAATTCCCTTGCAGAAGGGCACTTTGTTCCCTTTTTATGACATACCATACAGGTGTTAAATGTCGCCACTCGGGTTCAGCCACTTCACATGTGTAGTTAGGAGCAGGGGAATCCAGTGGAACAGCAATAACCTCGGGCTTTACCTTCAAATGTAACTTCGGAGCGGCTGTTTTGATATGCCCGGTGGGTAGAGAATATTTGAGTAAGAAAGGGAAAAGAGGTTAGAACTTCGCTATAGCATATTGCGGAAGAAGTTGAAAAAAACGCTATTTGTACCAAACACAACGCTCGATAAACTAGATGATCAGTATGGAATCCTGATTAAGGAAAGCTGAACTGAACGTTTTCCCGGGATTGTCGATAATAGAAGGCTGAGAAATATTTGATTATAGAATTGGACATCTTATGCGTAGGTCTATACACGAAAAACCAATCAAATCACAGCATCTATGTAAGTTAATTGTATGCTATGCGGTTGGATCCGAACATCTAATCAGATGATTCGCATGCCATCCGCATTGGACACTGGCTAACTATTCGTGTGTCAACTAACAGCCTTCTCCATAAGATCACCTGGAACATGCACATGGACAAGTAGTAATTTATTGCGTGATTCACATTTATTTACAGAGTCCGGTGGATCTGTAAATCTCTAACTTATGGATTGGAATCCACCCTGCTTGTTGCACATCAACTACAACACCTTTGTGCTTTGTTCCCTTTTAGTTTTGGGAACCTCGGGAATGATTAAATGCGATTACAGCGTTGCGTTATATCATAACCATTAATTCATCATCGTCATACGAGGTGTACACATGCAATCACAAAAGGGTGAGATGCATCCACGTGAGATTGGGGGCGTTGGGCGAAGACAGGACTTGGCTAGGTGCCGGTATACGGTCAGGAGGGTTCTACAAAATGAACATTTATTTACATATCTCAATGGGGTTTGCTATGCATGCATTCATCCATTTTTTCCAAGTGGTCATCCACTCACGTGAGGCAGTTGCTCATGACAGACCTTAATCAATATCCATAACGACTGCTTTTATGCTTGAGCTAGCTTGACCTAGTTTGGGGCTGTCGTTTAGTTGTTCGGTATATTCTCATAGATGATCATCGAATCATTTACCCCATTCCGCTGCCTTCTGTGTGTCCCGATTATCTGTATTAGTTAACAGGCCCCTAATGATACGTTTTGATTGGAATTCTGTTTTCACACCTGAGAGGACAATCGAGCTTATTAACTTCAGGATCAGAGGTTCTTGCGGCTTCTTCTCGAGTGTTTTGAAACTAGAAGAGAACCACCAGCTTGGTCCTAACCTCAAATACCGGTGTTTACCATTAGCACTTCATTCAACTCGCTGTCCTCATAAACAGGGGGGCATGATGTAACTTTAGTGAATATTTTTTGAAACATATAATGTAGTAAAGTTTCCTTGAAAGCGATGGAAATGTTTGTGATAACCGACAAAGAGCACCGGAAAGCTGTTTCGTCCTGCTTGGGACTCGTCAGCATTGCGTACTTTTGTATCCATGTCAGGACTACCTGGTGTCCCTGAACGATCGAATGGGCTAATATAAGCTTGATACTCTAAAGCATTTTTTTGAATGACAACAAAGATGCGGCCATCCTTGGAGGATCATAGATCTGCAATGGTCAAATGTGATCATCCAGCACAACTGTGTCCGTGACCGATCGCAACTATCCAATACTCCATTTTCCGAATTTTAACAAGCGTCTCCATGATGGTGCGATTCTGCACGCCTGCGTGTACACTTTTAGTTTATTTCGTAATTAAAGTCATAGACCAGCAGATACCTGTTTCGGACTAACCAAGACCCGCATCATAAAACATCGATGTTTTTACTTTCAGTTTACTGACCACTTACGTTTGTATTTCTGTTCTCCAGTTTCGCTCTGTCTTTGGCTAACCAATATACAGATAACCTCTGGAGAGATTACAAAACAGAAAAGAGACTACCAGTTCTGTGGATAAAGAAACATAGAGACTGTTCTACAGATGCTAAACCGAAAGCGGTGCCGACACTAAACAAATTTCTGTTTTCAGGTGAGACGTCTCAACAAAAGTATTCTCAGTAGTATCAGATCCTCGTGTCACTACTTAACCGATCGGGAATCCCACGAATTGTAATACAGAGCGTTGCAAGCACAACTATGTGAAAATCGTTCACTGTGAAAAATCAAATGTATTTGAGGATAAGTGAGTAGACGTGGAAAAATAACCAATTCTTGGTTCTTCTGTTTTGGGCTGACCGGTTTGATTGGTTGCCCGTTTATGGACCAATCACATGATTTGAATCATTCATAACTGATTGGACTGTTGGACTGGAACATCCTGTTTCATTTGGGAATCATGAATCCCTGGGACCATTGTGGGAAGGTAGAAAACCACAGTTCACATTATTCAAATAAACTCTTATTACAGATGGTAAGAAAACGACAAAGTAGCGATAAAGCTCGTTTGCGGTAGTTCATCTGAAGACTAATACATCATCGCTTATAACAAAATGTTTAGCATTAGGCTGTAGATTAATATGGTGATCCTGGCCTATGGGATGACGCATACTCTGGAGAAACGCGTTACAGTTTTAGGACAACTGTGATCAATCAAACTTCACGGGTGACGTCAGCAAAGGGCGTACGTGTCATTGCTTCTGGACTACATACCCTTGGTAGATTGTACCAGCCAATCAGAGACCGTGCGGCCCAGACAGAGGCAGAACGACGCCAGAAATACTAGAACGTGGTTGGCAGAGGCCCGGATGACCAATGAGTTTGATTTGTACATATTATTTAATACCCCTTATTTCTTTCAATAGACGAACCACTACTCCTGTGATCTTTTCCTCGCGTCTTAGTTATGTGGGATATTGCGTGCCAGTTCCAGTGTGGTCCAGTGCTGACGAGGTGTCCGTGACTTCTAATCAGTGACTCGTATTTCGTGATTCTTGTTGGGTTCTAGTACTACTATTTATACAGCCCTTACAATTAATCATCGCAGACGTTACCGGTGTAAAACTTACGCAATACAGTAAAATTCTGCACAATTGTCCGTTCATAATTGTCCACTTTTCCTTCACACTCGTAAGTGAATGTCCCACCGGTGATCAGATAGACCTCGTGACCGACACAAGTCCGTCTATTGTCTGACGATATACTATAGATGAGGGGACGAAATCGTGAATCAGTTTGGAGCACACGACTTTCCCACATGCAAGTGATTGGATCACGGATGCTCACATTGTATTGTGCTTCATCGTGACTCATACTCAGCACAATATCAGACTCATCTGGATCCGATGAGCGGACCGGTCAAATAAGAAAGCGGACAGAAAATGATTACAGAGGAAAAAGGTTTGTGTTATAACTGGGTGCACGGAATGCGTGAAACAGAAAAGTTATTTAAAAAGTCATTCACAAATATAAGTTGATTTTATTGTGTTCGGTGGCATCTCAACACCGAATTTCAAACCATGGGAAAGGGATTTATAAAATGGATCACTCAATTAAGCCCTGGCGGAAATAAACATTTACAGAGTGGAGAATCAAACCTGTTTGAAGAATGTATATATCACAGAAGAAGTGCATAGATGACCTGTTTGATACGCATACCTAACTGACTAGCAACAAACACCGCGAAACCTACGTTAATTTTCTGAGGAACGTCGCCTAGTTATCCGTATTCCTACGCAATCGACATTCATTTTCAAACTTTTACTTCACATTTCTTTGAATACAAGACGCTGTCTTTTTTCACTTTTTTTGTGATTGAATGCGATGATAAATGTTCCTGGAGTGCAAGAAGCTGAGAATCCATCCATTAGGATGAATAAAACGCTTTTTGACTTGACTTCACTTGACTTGTATTTTACTTATGGTGAAATACATATCTAAGGCCTAATTTCGAACTAACTTAAGGCAAATAATTTCGCGATTTACAGGCCGGTTTTTAAATGGGTATCTACGTCACGCGATATAGTGCGGACTGTTTGGAGGTTGTACATGAGTAACATTTGTTTGCACAGACCTGGTTTGTGGAGTTTTGTGATCCAAAGGGGATTAAACTGGAACCGAAAGCTATTCTGGCCGAATCACATGAGGTTTCGGATATTCGGAAAGTGGTTTTTAACGTGATTGAAGCCTTCAGTGTGTGTGTGTGTGTGTAACCTAAATGGGTATGGCAAGTCGTTTAACGAATTTGTCCTAATGTACAGAAACTTTGAGCACGACAGGTTTAAAAAGGAATTTGTACTATTATAATTGATCTGGAATTCAGTAGAATTGACAACTGGCATCAAACTTCATTCAGCTGTAATTCTAATTATAACGACTACAACTTAACTAAGAACCATCATGAGTTTTCCAAGTATGATAACAATCAGTGAATTCGTTAATTACATATAACATTCTACCATATTTTACACCCGCCTCAGCTGACAGATTCTACAAAACAAATAACAGTAGGATAACCTTTAGTTTAAGTGAGTAATGAAGGATTTTGTCCAATTACAAAGGTGAATTCGTGCTGCATTTAGCAAGTGAAGCGTGAACTGAAAGGCTAGGAAGCACTGGACAGCTGTTTTGACCTGGTTAGGTCTCATCAGCAGTGCGAATCCATTGACTCGACTGGGGATCGAACCCGGGACCTTAAAGACAGAACGCAAGCGTTCTACCCACTCGGCCACCGGGCAGCTGGTCAGACCGTTTTTCATTTTCCATTTACATGATATAGCACCACTCATCTTTGCGACTTGTTGCAGACCACAGACCTCACTCATCTCAGCACTAACCTCCAGCCTACGACTCGATTGCCAGCGGCCGAATGAGTAGCATGCTTGCTTTTTGCCAATGAGGTCCCGGGTTCTATTCCCAGTTGGGTAGATGGATTCGCACTGCTGATGAGACCCAACCAGGTCAAAACAGCTGTCCAGTGCTACCTAGCTTTTCAGTTCACGCTTCATGTGCTATATACACAACGAATTTACCTTTGATAATCTTTATGTCAAAGAAGAGGATCCATTATTAGCTCGTGCAATACTCCCAGGTCGTCCACGTCAAAGCAAGGGAATTTTCTCGGTAGGTTTTGGTTAACCATAGCCGGACCCACCAGTTAGCGCTGTGGTGTATGAATACAGCAATTCCTTGTTAACTTTAATACGTAAAAAGCCTTTAACCGAATCGTGTGAAAATGACAGTTATTACCAACAATTTCAACAAAGTCCGGGACATAAAAGCTAAACAATCCATTTCGACCTCATTATAGCACATAACTAATGTGGCTGAATGATTGTCCAGTGAATTCGTCCTTGTTCGTGGTTGTGTTTCCGTAACTATATGAAAACTATAAACGCGACTCCCAATGGTATGCTTTTGATGACAAACAATTTGATGTAACCAATACGGATAGTTGTGGGGGAAGTTCACTGATAAATGAACGACAACTTAGGATGCCAGCTGGACAGTTTTCAAGTCTCACCGGAACTTTTGCCCCGGGTAGAAAATGACAAGGCATTGAAAATTCCGCAGGTGATTTCTGGTTCTGAATGATGCTACTCAATTGGAGTTCAAGTGTTCCACGTAGATAACTGATATGCGCCGGCAGAAATTCGGGGTGTTCATTGGTTATTAGTCTGCTTGTCGCTCGTACGGTTTTGACCTCGGATATTCTCCAACGAAGCTATTTGTACGCGAATCATCGACCGTTCTTTCGAATCGTTCTCTGAAGATATCCGGGAAAATCATCCACCAGTTGCTGTTTTTCTGAAGAACACTTTAGTGATCCGTGTTCTTCTGGTGTTCCTACAAAAGTTTTCCCGTGATTTATGATCTTTGCAGCTTTACTAGTACCGTGCATGCAAAATTTAAACCGAACTACATAAATTTATTATTGCTTAGTAAACTACAACAAACGGGACAAAGTGCATTTTTCCGTTGTCAAAACGGAACACCACTTTTTTCTGGGTCCGAAACACTATGATACACTCGCCTTAGCCCACAGCTTCCATCAACATCCTAAACAGCCCATCTCTCTACAGTTATTTCATTTAATCTTTGTCCCCACTCCCTCCAGGACTCTAACTTTGACACCCACTAACTTGGCCACATATACTTTCTCTCCCAGCTGGCCTGTGTCATCGTCATGAGCTGAGCTGTAATCAGCCAATTAGATAACTGTACTATGATCGTCTTATATATATCACCGCCTGATGTGATATGTCGAAAAGAAATTTCTTCGCGAACACCGTTTTCCACATTGCTAGTGGGAATATTTTACGACTTGAAACTTTGTACCAATTTATATTGTAGTCATTGGCATCATTGGTTATCTAAACAACACCAGAAATACTTGCTGAGCATTCTGCATGAGATTAAAGACACCATACTGATAAATTTTAGAGAACGTAGAAAACAGATCCAAGCTGATTTTGTTCATACCATGATACTGGATGGTCACTGCACCGCAACATAAGCATTTATTCCTATTCAATCATAAGAATATTTGGATATGGAAAATTTTGAACTATTTCCTGTAACATAACTGGGATATAAATATCCAATTTGGAAAAGTTGTTCAGGTTCTATATTCAAGCTTTGACTGTATAAATAAATCCATATCTCAGTTATTTTTATAACTTTTCACTGCAGGGGAGGGAGGGAGAGAGAGAGCAGGGAAGAACCCATGTGTTGCAGTCGAATCGTCCGCAACACTGTGGATGTTCATCATACTCTAATGGGATAGGATCGAATTTGAACTCAGTAACAGGTTTCGAGATGATGAATTCCCGATTGTTCCAGTATTGATCGTCCGTTATGTGATTACATTTATTCAGGTCAGCATCTTCACGCATACACAATCGTAAAAATCTGAAAGGAATAGTAAAACCTTAGATCCGAGAAACTGATAGTCAGTCGCATTATGGTTTGTGGGAAACAATAATAACGCTCAATCACTTACCAACCATTAGGAGTGTTTTTTCTGTGGAACCAATCAGCACCCCATCATGCATCAGTTCACACGTGAGATGAAATAGTTTTTCCTCTCCCGCTATCATGGTTTTGCTCAATCGGGATGGTCGATCTTGAGTGAATGCGGGATCTTTGGGTTCAATGGACAATTGTGGCGGATTGAACTTCTTCGAGCTGTTCAGTTTCGTCGTATTCGATTGTACAAAACACTCCCACAATCCGTTTTGTCCCAGTGTGATCAAATCACTGTTCGGTTGGCTCTCAATATACAACCGGAAATGGGAACGATCTATTTCGGGTGAAGGATTTTGCGACAATTACCATTAGTGGTTGTATTTCCACTATTTAGTACCACTAAACTTCTGTGTGCAAGATATCCTACTCCGTAATTAAATGTGAGGGTTTTGATAGATTCACATACGCTACAGAACGGACGGAAACCGCAATCAGGACGAAAGGACAACCTCCCCCATCCCACCCTCAAACCCTCGCACCAGTTCAACGGCGAACCGAGTTGAACACAGTGAGAACAGGAGACGAAAATAATCGGTGGAGAAGAACACATAAACAAACGGGTACAACCGGAACACTGCCACTTCATCAGCACTGATGATGCAACCTTGGCTGATGGTGAAACGCTTGCAAACAAATTGCCAAGCTCGGCGAACAGGCGAAATGGAATAGTTTTACTGTTTTTAACATTTAATCACACTTAAAATGTCTTCACCCGTTGATGAGGTTCATCCTAAGCACCATAACCAGTCTACATGCCCAAGTTGCCGGATGAAAGTTAACAGTCCTTCACGTTTGAGAAACTTTAGCTTCCTCCTAACTGCTACTTTTCTAAGCAGCAAACATTACACGCCTCGGAAGCTTTCTCAGCGACATGTGTTATATACCCTAACAGTAAAAAGACATTTTTCAAATTCATAAGGACTATACAAATAAAAGAAGAGTAAATCTGACATCCAATTCAATGAAATAGAGCATACTTGGTTCGATCACCTTAAGTCAGATGCCTTCAGAAAAATTAGTTCGTAAAAGTGGAGCTAGTATTGAAATGGAGGAAGGCATTTTCTCTCTGGTATAATCACCAAAGCATCACTGCTTTTCACAAATTTGCATTTTTATAGTGTTGTATTTTATTGTATTCTAGACTTTTTATATACAGATATGTATACATTTCATTCAACCCACTAGTACGGCCATCACCGAGGAATGCTTTTGAAAACCAAAAGAAATTCAAACAGTTCGTTCAACCTAAAAGGTTCATCAAAAACTCAACGGATTATGAGTTAGAGTAAAATAGATATGTGAAATAGGTGGAGACTTCGTAAGACAGTGTCCTCCGAAAGAAGTGAAACGCGGCCTATGATGACCAAGCCATGACGACGAGCACTGAAGTCCTTTTCAAATAAATCGGAGAAGATAACAGCGAAGCATTAGATAATAATGGGTAAGATACATTGACAAGTAGAAGCAGAGACGACAGACTGTTCGACGGTAAAATTCTTCAACCTACGAATATGGAAGAAAAAATGTCTGAGCTTGGCAACAGTACTAAGGATAAGGGTAGATCATCTGAATTCCAAGCTCGGCGAACAGGCGAAATGGAATTCAGTTCACCCGAGCTACGAGAACCAATTTTCAACATTTTGTCAACAGTAACAATATGTTCA